AAAATCTGGCGTCACTGCTTGTATGTGGTAACTTGTGAGGTGTACACCGACCATAAGAGCTTGAAATACTTCTTCACCTAAAAGGAATTGAACATGAGACAGAGGCGATGGTTAGAGTTAATCAAAGATTACGATTTGCAGATCTTGTACCACCCAGGGAAAGCTAATACCGTAGCGGATGCCTTGAGTAAAAAATCAACGAAAATTTGTCATGTTTGCTATCCAACCAAAAAGAATTGCGGATTGACCTAGAACAAGACGGGTTGTTAACTACTATTTCCGCTCAACCTACAATTCTTGACGAGATCAAACAGAAACAGTGTGAAGATGAATACTTGAAAAAGATCATGGAGGAATTGGATTCAAAGCCCAGGCCAGGATTTGTGTCTGAGAATGATGTGTTGAAGTTTCAAAACCGCCTTTGTGTGCCCGATTGTGGTGATTTGAAAAAACGTGTTATGACCGAAGCTCACAGTAGCAAGTTTGCTATGCATCCGGGGAACACGAAAATGTACCATAATTTGAAACAGAATTTTTGGTGGCCTGGAATGAAAAAGAGTATTGCAGACTTTGTGGCTAGATGTCTACATTGCTAACAGGTTAAAGCTGAACATCAACCACCCGCTGGTTTGCTACAACCACTTCCAATACCGGAATGGAAATGGGAGCACATTACCATGGATTTCATTGTGGGATTGCCTCGTTCTTCTCGAGGTATGGATTCTATTTGGGTTATAGTTGACCGTTTAACTAAGTCTGCCAATTTTTTACCTGTCAAAACTATTTATAACACTGATAAATTGACCAATATCTATATGACTGAAATTGTGAGATTGCATGGAGTGCCAGTATCTATTGAGTTTGATAGGGACTCAAAGTTCGTATCAAGATTTTGGCAGAGTTTGCAACAGGCTTTGGGGACTAAATTGAGGCTGAGTAGTGTCTATCACCCACAAACGGATGGACAAACTGAATGAACTAACCAAACTTTAGAGGACATGCTCAGAATGTGTGTGTTAGACTTCTAGGGGAATTGGGAGACCTACTTGCCATTAGCTAAATTTGTGTACAACAACAGTTACCATTCAAGCATTGAAATGGCTCCTTACGAAGCTTTGTATGGAAGAAAATGTCGTTCTCCGATATATTGGGCTGAAGTAGGTGATAGACCTTTGTTGGGACTGGAACTTGTGCAAGAAACAACCGAGAAAGTGAAACTGATCCAGCAATGCCTGAAAACTGCACAGAGTCGGCAGAAAAGCTATGCTGATGTCCGAAGAAGAGATAGAGAATACGAAGTTGGGGACCATGTGTTCATAAAGGTGACCTCGATGAAGGGTCAAACTCGGTTTGGTGTTAAGGGCAAGTTGGCGCCAAGATATGTCAGACCTTATGAAGTCCTCGAAAAGATCAATCTGGTATCGTATCGGGTAGCCTCGCCTCCAGTAATGGAACATATGCATAACGTCTTTCATGTATCGATGCTTCGGGAATATTTGAGAGATCCACTTCACGTCATTGAGCCAACACATGTGCTTTTGAAAGATGATTACACCTATGAGGAAAGACCTATCCAGATTGTGAATCGGATGATCAAAAGACTGAGAGATAAAGAAATACCGTTGGTAAAAGTTGATTGGCAAAACCATAGAGGAACCTATGCAACCTGGGAAACCGAGGAAGACATGATGAAGAGATATCCAGATTTATTTCCATTAGACCCAATGTTGTCCCGGAATGAAGGTAATTCGAGTTTGGAGGACCAAACTCTTTTAAGGGGGGGAGACTGTAATGACCCCGACCTCTGATTAACGTTAATTCGCACTTAATTATGTCTAACAGTAGATTAGGAGGAAGTTGGAATTAATTTTCATGTGTGTTGTTTGATTTTTGTGTTTATATCTGTTAGGCGTAGAAAGATCTATTCATGTTTTTGTTTTGAATTGCGAATTGAAAGCCTTATTGGCGTTAGAATCAGAAATTGACTTGATTTATGTGCTAGTTAGGATTTATAGAATTTTATGGTAAGTTTAATTAAAATTCGATTCGGAGCGATTAAATTAGATTAAATAATGCTGGATTAAACATAGATTAAGTGAGTGCAAGTTAATTGCATCATTGCCCTTGAGTGGGCCACTTTCTCATACATTGTTTAGAATTACTCCATACACCATTTTTTAGCCTTTTTCTTTGCCAAAACCATGAGAAAGAAAGAGAGTAAGAGAAACTTGGATTCATCAAAAATTTGGCTTGGAAATTTGAGGATTTGTACAAGAACTACACAATTGAGCTAGCACACCTTGAACTCAAGACCTAAGATAGAGATTTCATCCCCTTAAGCTTGAATTTGAATTGTTTCTTTCTTGGTTCATGGTTAATTAGTGTCTAAAGCTAGGAATTGGGTTAAAATGTTGAATTGATGATTAATTCATGCATGCATGCATGTTTCATAGCATTTTGAAGGATGAGTTTTAAGAATTTCCTCATGCATGTGTTAATTTTACTCACATTTTGGTCATTCAACTTGTTTTCCATCAAATTATCAAGTTTGATTATGTTTTGGAGGGTTTGAATTCAAAGAGGTTCTTGCATGTTGAATTCATAGCATATTCATAAAGTTCGTGTTAATTTTGCACAAATTGGGTTGCTCTTGGACCATGATTTCTTGAAATAATTTTTAATACATGTTGTTTTATGAGCTATTTTATGTTTTCTCAAATATTGGCCCAGAAAAATGAGTTTTGAAGGCTTAAAAGTCGAGTTTCATGCTTGGAGGTCAATCTGGATTTTCCATAAATTTGACCCACGCTCGAGCGGGTACTTTCATGCTCGAGCATGAATCCTGAGTACATGCACTTCCGCTCAAGCGTCGATAGTTACGCTCGAGCGTGAAATGCGTATACCCAGAAGTTTGTGTGTTTTGCAGTCCGCTCGAGCGGAGGAAACCACACTCGAGCGAGGGTCTGTGTCACACGCTCGAACGGGGGTAGAGCGCCCGTCGAGCGTGAATTTCATGCATCCAACACTTTTTCACAAGTTTGCAGTCCGCTCGAGCAGGGAAAATCACGCTCGAGCGGAGCTTCATTGTCTGCATGTTCCTGCTCGAGCGGGGAAACCTACGCTCGAGCTTGGACCTTATCTTCAGCAAAATTTGAGTAATGGTTTTCAATGCATTTTTGCATCCTCATTCCATCCTAGGCATTCCTAGGCCATGGAACACACTAAGAGCCAACGAAATAAGTTTTGTACAATTAGAACGTGTGTTTCAAGTGTATATATGTTATGTGTTGTGTAGGTCACGTGCCACGTACCGTTTGACCAAGTTTACTCCGTCTATCTGTCTCAAGGCCCACTGTGAATAATAACTCTATAAAATTATGTTTAACTTAAATATTTTCTGACTGGTATGGTATGATCTGTTTTCTGAAATGCTATCTTACGAATTATGAATGAATGTCCAATTTTTCTGAAAAGTATTTGTGGCATCCTTAGTTCACGCGGCCCTCGTCTGGGGGTAACAATACCGCGACCAATCTGTACGTGGCCCTCGCCCGGGGGTAACAATACCGCGGCCAATCTGCACGTGGCCCTCGCCCGGGGGTAACAATACCGCGGCCAATCTGCACATGGCCCTCACCCGGGGGTAACAATATCATGGCTACTTGCGCGCAAGATATGGCCCTTTATGGTCGTTGGTACCAACTATGCATGTGGGTCTCTAGACCAAATTGATCTGATATCTAATGGGTGTATCACGTATGATCTTATGCAAATTCTGAATATGAACATGAGTGTGTATCTAAATCTATTTCTGTTTTGAAGTCTGAACATGTTCTAATTTAAATACTGGATCCTAACTTGTGTTGGACATCATTCATAAAACCCCTTTACTTTGTTATTATTCACTGGGCTTCCGCTCACAGTTTATATTATGTTTGTAGGTGAGCCGGCACATGACCAGGGCCGGAGTTGATGGCCTTCTGTTCTGTTTTTGTCAGCCAACTGTTGTGCCTCCCGAGGAGGTTTCGAACGAAGCCTAATGCCATGGCTGTTTTTGTATTCATGCTAGTCTCTGTGTGTGCTCTGTAAAGTCAGGCCTTGGAAAGTACATTCTGTAAATACGTTGTAAATATTGTGTATCTAGACTAGCATGTTTAGGCATATATAAATAAGTTTTGAAATGTTATGTCCCATGTACGTTATCACAGCTCATTGGACCTTGTCTATTTTGTATTATTGCTTTCTCAGCCCCTTATTATTTGCTAATCTGTTCAGAGGCCTTTGGTAATCCACGAATTACTGTCCGGTTATAGTGCTAAACCTACAGGGGCGGGTTTGGGTCGTGACACTACACCTACATGGCCATTAAAATCTCCACCTATAACCAGGTTCTCTCCTATGGGTATTTCTTGTAAGATCTCATCTATTTACTCCCAAAAATTTCTCTTAGTCTGATCATCTAATGCTACTTGAGGGGCATATGCACTAATAACATTCACTATATTCCCTCCAATAACTAGATTAACTAACATAATCTTATCCCCTTTCCTAATGACCGCCACTACATTCTTCACAAGACCCTTAACAAGACCCTTAGCAGCTCAATAATCAAATCATTGAAAAATTTAAATATACTATATACATGCACACTATTATATAAAATGTACAAGTTACTTGGTATGAACAGTTTTGTCACCACTTTTTTGATTCTTAAATTACCATTATCTAACTGTTGATTTCAACCTGTCTCACCAATTGATGAGTTTGAAAACTAACCTATGAAAAAATTAAATTGATTCAGATGTTTAAAACTTCACAAAGATGGACAGTTTTCTATTGATCTTCTTTATTCATAAACATTAGCTTTTTGCGCACGCATCGCATATGCCCCATCACTTACATATATAAATATTTGTCATACACAATAATAATGTGCTGAATTTCTAAACAGTCAATTAAGAGAGTGATTGTAATACCTCAGATATCGGCACACAGCAACATGTTTAACAAAACAGAAATTACAATATAAGGAAAACCGTTGTTTAATGGAAGGACATAGCTTCATGACAACAAAAAAACAAGCCAAATTCAATATCACTTTATTTAACAAAAGAAACACCTAGCATACCATCATTTTTTGTCTAGATAGTTTACAATTTGATCAATGTAGAGAATTTGACTGTACAAACACAATTTTGCCACATTATCTCAATGTCAGAAATGATTTATACTATCATTCTGGTTTCTTCACAACAAGAACAGGGCACTTGGCATTATGAACACAATAGCTGCTTACGCTCCCTATCAGAGCCCTGCATCAACAAATTTGGTTTTAGGACCTATTTGAGAATCTTTATGTAGGACTATATAATACGAGTAAAGTTGCACAATAATGTATACGAATGCTAACCTTATAAGTCATTCTAGTAAGATATCTGAGATCTAGCAGAAAGAGTTAGCAACAACAAATTTACAAAAGCATGCCCAATTTTCTGCTTCTTCAGAAATAATCGCAACAAATCAACATTCAAGAAACGGGGTGCCCGTGATATTGACAAAAAAATGACATCTATAAGATCACTATAAGATGGAGGGGGCAGAAGGTACATAGGATTAGCACATTGTTTCGACAAATTACTGGAAGAAAGGAAACTAACCTCTTGACTTTTCCAAGCTCGTGATCACCTAAAACAAGTAGATTGATGTTGTACTTTTCGACTGCATCGCATATGGCCTGTTTAGGATCCCCATCCTGTGCTATAGTTTCTGCATTTACCTGTAGAGAATAAGAGATAATGAATACCATTCCTTAATATTGCATGTGGTGTGCTAAAAAAATGAGTGTATTCAACTGCATATAGACATCTTCTCTAGTGTGAAAAACATTATTAATTTTAGAAAATAATGTAAGTGATTTCCTAAAGTAACAAAGTACAGTAGAGAAAATGGGATGAGATATGGTCACAAACAAGCCAAATTCAATTTGTTGTTCATAATTTCTGTTTGCCTGTGCAATAATTGTGAAACTAAGATACAAGGATTATCTAACAAAGCTACAAGTCCATCTAACCCATCCATTATCACATGATATTATTTATTCTTTCTTTTGGCACACGGTATCCAATTACCCATAAAATAAGTTTTTTTGGATTATGGATTTGAGGAGTGATTTGTAAAGGGAGGAAAAACAATGACAAAAATAAAACAAAATAAAATAAATAGAGCTCATATTAAAAATTTGGTCAGTCATTTGAAGACTTAGGCAACAAATTGACATGCACAAATTTGACATCAGTAAAAAGAACTCTACCCGATATGCCAAAATTAACACGGAGCATTAAAATTAAAAAAATGAATCAAAATTGATATCTCTCTCACCCATGCCAAATTTGACATGGTTAAAGTCTATGTCAATTCCACGTTAGATTTAAGCAACACGTTAGATATAAAATTTGGGTGGAGATGCTCTTATATTTCTCTCTGTTGTTTCTAGTTTTTTTTTTTTCTTCCTCTCGACAAATTCTGTGGGATATCATCACCCCATGTGAGGGGTGATTCTCCATGTGAAGAAGGAGTTGGCAATGTGCAAAGCCAACACACACATGAGCTGCCATGTTAGCCAACCTTTGGCCATGTGAAGCCAACACACAAGAGAGTTGGCACAAGTTGGCCATGTGCTGGCCAGCCCCTCTTCATCTCCTATTCTGTTAGTGTATAAATGGAGGCTGAGGGGAGAGTTTAATTGAGAGAGAGAGCAGAGCAAGCCACAGAGAGTGAAATATGTGAGGCGGAGAGACCGTCTCCCTCGGTGTGAGCGAGGGAGACGGGTGAGTGTGTGAGTGAGGAGAGTGTGAGCTCCTCCTCTATTGTAATCTTTCTGTAATATTTCCATTGTTATAGTGATAACCGGCTACTCTCCCGTGGACGTAGGCATTGAGGCCGAACCACGTTAAATATTGTGTCTCCTTGAGTGTGGGTGTGTTTTTCTGCATTGAATAATTTCTACAAGGTCTTGGGCGGGATCCCAGATCCCAACAAATTCATCCTTAAATTCATAATCCAAACGGAACCTAAAAACAAACCAACTTAGGATTTCACTCTATTAAGTTTTTAGATGAAATTACCTTTCACATGAACAATAAAATCAAACAAAGCAAATATCTGTTTAAAATCACAATTGAAACATGGTCATACCCCATGACTGGCACAGATGCTCTTAGCTTTCTCCAAAATCCCCATTGAAACCACCTTGTTCTGTTCTTGAACAGAGTTCACAAACTCAGAATCTGTCATTAAAAAAATTCAGCACAACTTGCAAGTAGAAATATATACTTATTAATACAGACCTTAAACCTCCAATAATCATCAATCAGTATTTCAAATACAAAATCACTTCATTCTTATGTGGAAGTATTATAATTATGCGGTGAGCGCCCAACACCAAATCTTTAACTGAGGTATAATACTATATTAAATTGTTAATGTTCGTCCCATCAAAAAACTTAAGCTATTAGAGAATATTAACTTCATTATTTATATTATCAAACATATATTTGTATACATGAACCTTTTACCAATTAAGAAGCCCCTAACTAGAATCAATAAGACACAAAAATAGAAAAGAACAAATACAAATAAATAATAATAAATAAATAAATAGACAAAAAAAGAAAAAAAGAAGATTTGTTTACATATTTTTTACTTTTAAGATATATCTTAACTTTTTATATTATATAAATATTTTATTCAATAAATCTTTAAATTTAAAAATAAATATAAAATAACTCTCCCAACCCAACCCATATATGAGATTAAAGATCCGAACCCAAATAGCTCTTCAAATTGAAGAAAAAAGAAAATGAACAATTTCAACAACAGGTGTAGAGAGAGAGAGAGAGAGAGAGAGAGAGAGAGAGAGGACATAACTGGCTAAGATGGGGCAATACATGCGAGCAGAGCCAAGAGGCGCAGCAAAGACATTGGCGGTAGTCGCAGAAGGCTGAGCCATAAATATAATGAGGGGATTGGCAGATCTGCTGATCGATTCTCTCAGGTTTTCAAGAACCCACATCAGAGCATGGTAACTTGACCCGCTCTCATCGATTGCCACCATCACTTTCTTCCCACTCTCCACCACTGCCATTTCTACTCTTTTTAGAAATTTTCAAAGTTTCTTTCAGATTCAAACACAAAAACCCAGAACAAACAAAAAAAAAGGATAACAAAAGTATATCAACTCACTGATTGATGATGGTAAGGTAGGTGCAAGAAATATCAAGTAGAAGGTCCACCTGAAAGATCAGACAAAACGACAATAAACCGCTTGTAGATGACAAGTTAACTGCTGTATGGCTTTATCTAAATACAATTATAGAGGTGGCCCTCTTTTGAATTTGGCTTGAGTTTTAGAAAAACCAAGTACAACTTTTATTTTTATTTTTTATTTATTTTTTTTAAAAAAAAAAGCTTAAGAAATTAGTCACAGACATAGTGTGTTTGATTTGTGTTTTTTAGATTAAATTTTTTAAAAATTATTTTTTTACTTTTCGTATTTTTTTGTTTTTAATAAATATTTTTAAAATTTTAAACATTTTTTTACTTGTTTAGATACACCTTATTTAGATGTATCTAAAAAGTAAAAAATTTATACAAAAATATTTTAAAAAATTAATAAATACATAAAAATATAAAAAAATGTACTGAATTTTTGTAATTTTTTTTGTATTTTTGGTGTTTAGTGAATTTTTAAAAGATTTTTTTTTACAATTTTTTTACTCTTGAAGTGTATTTATATTAGGTGTGTTTAAAAGTAAAAAAATTACTTAAAATATTAAAAAAAATTCAGTAAAAACACAAAAATATGAAAAATAAGAAAGTAAAATTTTTTGAAAAATATTTTTTGAAAAGTGAAAACAAGAAGGTGATTGATTTTTTTAATTAATTTTTTTGAATTAAGATATTTTTAGTTTGAAATTAAAAAAAAATTAATTTAAATTTTTTTTAATTTTTACAAAAAAAATAAGAATAATGCTTGGGACCCCCTTTTGGGGGTCACCCTTCACCCCCCTTTGCCACGTGGCGGTGGTGATTGGAGGAGCAGGAAAAAAAAGAAAAAGAAAAAGAAAAAGTAACCAATGAGAGAGAGAGTGGGTCAAAGGGGGTGGGAAAAAGGTAATTTAAATAGAATATTTTATTTTATTAATTTATTTTATCTTTCGTATTTTTTTTTTAACCCAACTAAATTAGGCAAACGGAGGCTTTTCCGTTTTGGACTTTTGAGGGATTATGGTAGCTGGGGGAAAACCGGTTAGTCAAACGGTAGGCCCACATGCAGCGATCAGTCTGCTCCTTACCCAAAATTATGAAAAATTATTGATTGGTCTAGGCTATGCTACTCATCCATTTATCAGGTTCCTTTCAATATTTTAATATAAATTTATCCTTTCACCAATTATGAATTATTTTGAAAAGGTCGTTAAATTTTAATTTTTTAATTTTAAAAAAAAATTATGTACAAAATATGAGAAATAATTTGATTTAAAATAAATTAAAAAAAAAAACTTTTAACTCACTTTTTTAAAAGAGGCCAATATTATTGAAACACTAAAAGCCTAACCAATAACCTCTTCAAAATTAGGGACAGATAAAAAAAATTCTCGCATAAGCTTTTAAAATGCTTCCGGAAAATTGTTTGGATCAGATCATATGCATAATTTTTTTTGTAATTATAATTATATCTTATTTTAAAGTTGGATAAATTATAAAGTTTGCTTAAAATACTAATTATTTTTTGTATTTTAAAAAATTAAATCCAGCCGTTTAAAAATTTTAATCCCATAATAAATAACTCGTTTCATTAATCAATCATTAAGTCAATTAATAATTTTTAATGACGTAAACAATATATTTGAATTAAAATTTTGATAATTTAATTGTTGTATAGAAGGATGGATAATTGGGGAATTTTATTTGTCTATCAACTCTTATTAAATGTCAAATTTCAACAATGAAATATTTGTAATTTCTAAAATTACAGAGATAATTTGTATTTTAAATAAATATTTATAATTTATCCTTTTTATTTCAATCGTACAATAAGTAGTTTTTTAATGGTTGTTTGGTTAAAAATATAAGATGGAAAAAACTGGAGAGTTTGATAATGATTTTTTAGCTTTCAATGAAAAAAAGAAAAGAAAAAAGAATAGAGAATAGAAAAGAATCTTTAACTCATTTGTATGTTCTTTTAACCTTTTAGTGATTTTTTTACTAAAAATCTTAATTCTCAAAGACACTTTTACTATCGTCTTTCCTCTCCCATCCCTTTCACCTACTATTACCCACCATCACAATTTATGAGATCACCCATGCTCTTTCCTACCTCTATCCACTGCTCCAACTCTCCGCCATCTCCAATCGTCCCTACCTTCCCTCGCTCTAACCACTCGCCAATCCTTTCTCACCTCTAGTAGTGTATCCCAATCCTTTTTTACCGCCAGCCACACACCACCACAACTAGACTTGAGAAAGTATTCATTCGACCCACTAAAATCGAATGGGCCGAACCAATCTGCCACAAAATAGACGATTTTAATGGTCCGAGCCGACAAATATGGATGCATTTTTTTCAATCCATTTAAGTTCGGACAAATAGCATATATGATGCCACTTGACCCAACTCGATCCACTAACACCACTAAGAAAATGATGTTATACTTTTATGCTTTTTGTGTTAAAAAAAAAATTTATTTAGTAATGAAGAATAAAAATAATTAGGGCAAATTACATATACCTCCTCGAGGTTTAGTAAAATTACACATATCTCCCTGAGGTTTGAGAAATTACAGATACCCCCTGAAGGTACTATTTAGATAACAAATTAGGAGGCAAATTGTTATGAAAATATAAACCTCAGGGGATAATTTGTTATGAAAATATAAACCTCAGGAGGGTATCTGTAATTTTCGAAACCTGAGGGGTATCTATAATTTAGCTAAACCTCGAGGGAGGTATATGTAATTTGCCCAAATAATTATTGAAAAATAATTCAAAAAATGCCTAAAAGAATAAAGCCAAACAACTACACCGCCAAACTAATCTACATCCACCAATTAACCGGCATGGCCCTTTCATTTTGCATCTGCTAACTAAACGAATGGGTCCAGATTAATTCTTCTCAATTTGCTTAACTTCGGATGAATAGTGGATGAGAAGTCACCTAACCCAACTCGATTTGCAAGCACCCCTAATCACAACTCCTCATTCCTTTCTACATTTTCTCATACTAATGCTTCATCTCTCCTTTGAAACCCTATATGTTACCCCTTTTATCATTCTTGAAACCCTAGTTGCCATTTGCCTCCACTATTTTCGAAACCCTAGAGTTATAAAAGAGAGATCTAATGGGAAGGATATGTTGATAATGGTAGTGAAGACGCTGGGGTTGGGGAAAAAGAGATCAATGTAGTAAATTGGTTGAGAAAGGAAGGTCGAGGTGGTATGGGGACCAGAAGAGTAGTTTGGGAGGGTCGTCCTCATCAGTAAGTAAAGGAGTTGTAGTGAGAATGGCAAGGTAGACAGAGAAGGGTACATAAGGGCTTGGGGTGACATTAAGGGTGGAGAGTGGTAATCGAAGCTAGGGTGGGAGTGGTAACCAAAGCTAGTGGTATGGTAGTGCGTAGTGTTGGGGTAAGGATGGACATAGAGTTAGGTTACAATTTGAGATGTTGGAGGTTACTTTTGGTATTGAGTAGTGTGTCTAAAGTAGTGGTGGACATTCGTCGGGCTGAGCCGGGTCAACACTACATAATAAAGGATTTTGTGTCTGTCCAAGCTCGACTCAGCCTTAACATCAAGCCTCTACATCTGTCAAAGCCCGATCCAAAAAATAATTATAAATATCAAACCCACCTATCAAACTATATGCCAATTTTTTTTTTAAAACATTCTATATTTAAATTCAATCACATATTATATTTCTTAAATAAATATAATGACATTTATTATAAATTGAAAGATTTTGTGTATAAATTGAAAGATTTCTTAAATAAATTCAATCACATATCACCATAAATGTGAGTTTGAATAAAATCAATAAAGATAAAATCTAAATTCCAACAACAAAAAAAATATTTTAATATATTATAATTAATTAATTTAACAACAAGTTGGGTCAGGCTAGGTTAAAAGTATAATTCTCCAGCTTAGCCAAAATATTGACCCAGCTTGACTCTATATGTTAAAATAACCTTTCCAAATCTTAAAAAAATAGGATCAAGCTGAGCTGGTCGGGCTGATGCCCACCCCTAGTCTAAAGTAGGAAAATCGTGAGAAAAAATTACAGACAGTAGAGACTAAAGTGAAAAAAAAAAAATTAAATTAAATTAAATTAAATGCTAAAGCAGGAAAATCATCAAACTTAAGGTAGGTAAAGTATAATTTATTCATTTTTATGCACATTACATTTTGGACGGAAGTTACTTTTGAGAGTAGATTGGAAAAAATTACAAATGTATAGAGGGGAAAAAAATAGAATAATATTAGAAATTATGAAAAAAATATCATGAAATGCATCGTAAAGATTTTCATCATTTGATTAGTGTGTGGTGTTTTATTGTATGTATAATCCAAGGGTAGAAAATCTTTTATAATCATTTTCATAATATTTTTTTCATGATTCCTATCATTACTCAAAAAAATAATGGGCTAAAGTGGAAAAACCATGAAAATTAAAAAGGGCACAGTATAATTTACCATTTCTTTAAACAACTAGGTATTAAAAGGTTCCAACTCATATTTTTTTTCTTTTGCCCAAGAGGGATGCAACCTCCATTTTTGAAGAGCAGCAATTCTGGAGTACAGAGGGCTGCAACCTCCATTTTTTAAGATAAACGAACTAAAAAGTATCCATGCTTCCACCAGCAAGTACTGTCAAGGTCGACACAGATGCAAGTGCAAAAGGGAACCCTAGTCAACAAGGCGTAGGAGGTGATTTGTCTCGGGGATCATTATCATAGAAAGCTTACAATGGTATTTACACTGGTGGCGGAGCTGTGAAGCCTCTGCAAGTGCAAGAGATCTGTGCATTGTGTGATGTGTACCATTAAGATTTCATGCATGCCATAGTGAAAACTGATTCCAAGCATTGCCAAGGATCTCCAAAGCAGAGAAACAAACGCTGATCATTCACATAAAGCCATCATCAGAGAATGCATGTTACTAATAATGAGATGCAGAACAATGGAAAAGAGCAGTATCAACACAGAATTCCTAGCTATCCAAGAAATAAATCAAGACCTCATTCACGTCCAGGGAGTTGTGCAAGTTGAAAGGTTACATCTATATTAAAGTTAATTGATACAAAAAATAAGACATCTGATGAATGTATCAATGCACTACATGAAAACTAGATTTTGACCTCACAATCTTAGCAATCAAGGGTTTTACCTGCCAAATAATGCAATTTGTTTAAAGAATCATTTCCAGGGAAACAAACAAATCCCAATTCGAGTTCACAATCTTGCAGTCTAGAAATTTACCCACCAAATCACAGGCATTTTCTGTATGGAATGCTTTCCAAGGTAACGAACAAATCCCAATTTGAAGCACTTGACCAAGGCCTAATTCAGGTCTAGCCTCTACAATGTTGCAGCTTTCACCCAACTCAATCACAGAAAAAACAATCCAATTTATAAGGACTGAGTTTCACAATTAATTTGTGAGAAAAGTATGATGGGGATGCATGTGAAAAGCAGAAATTTCAAGAACATAACAAGTGAGCAAAATTCCAGAAGGAGCAATTTCTAACTACTCCATTTCACTATTAATTTGTAACCACGAGGTTTTTGTATCAAATCAAAACTTACAAGAACGGGAATCCTTCTATCTGAATATTGTTACTTTCTCGATTTTGGATAATCTTTTAGCAACCCAAACCAACCAAAAAAAAGTGCTTTTGGGTATTGAGAGCAAGTGGGGAAGTAAATTAGCTTCACCAGGTCTTCAGCCAAATAGGCCATTTTGCTGAATTTTCACTTAATTGGATTCCTCGTGGCGAACAAATTGAACAAACTTAGATCTCACCTCTGGTGGAATACGGACAGGACGATAGTTCTTGTCAAGCCAAACTGCAGTGGCCCTTGCTTCCAGAATGGGCTGGGCAACCAGACAAATGGAGTTCATTAGCATCGAGATATGTTCTCAAGAAATTTTTTCATCTCTTTTTTTTTTCAATTAAAAAAAAAAGAAAAAGGGTTAATTACATTTTACCTCCCCGTAGTTTGGTCCAAATTACCTCCTTGTGATTTAAAAAAATACATTTAACCTCCTTGTGATTTGGAGTGAAGTGTCAGGACAAACTATGTTAACAATACTTGTAAAAAGTCCATATTACCCTTGATATGTTGTCAAATTTTATTTTCTAGGCCATCCTAATCTCATAAGTCAAAACCAGGTTTTCACTTTCTGTCCTTTTCTTCTCTTTCTATTTCATTCCTTCTTTTCACATATTTTGATCTCTCCTCCCCTGCCTCGTGGCCAACCCGTCTTCTTTTAGCTAACAAAATCAACCAAAATAATTTTTCATTTCCGATGACGCACAAAAATTCCAAATTAAAATAACACAAACATATATATATATATATATATATTATGTTATACTCCTATGTACATATATATCAATCTATGAAGCACGGATACTTCAAAAAGGGTGACGTATCCGTATCGGATACTTATCGGATACCGATACTCCTCGGATACTCGCGGATACGTATCAGATACTTCTTAATTAATTTTTTATTAATTTTGAAGTATCGGATACTTAATTTTGAAGTATCGGATACTTGAAGTTACATATTATTTATAATATTTTGTTTAGTTCTTTCATAAGAGGAATATAGTGAGAGTTAAAGTAATAGAATTTGTCAAATTGATGTATCCTTGTTGCCTCTCTCACTTCTCTCTCGCTTTCTCACTCTCACGTTTCTTCTCTCTACTCTCATTCTTTTTTTGGTGTTGGCATGTAAGGATGATGTTTAATTTGCATTTGCATTTGTTTTTGCTTTTAGTTTTGGATGTTTTATTAATGTTTGAGCACTTTTAGGTTAATAGGAATCCCTCTCTTTATTTATTAATTTACTTTAAGTTTTATTTTCATACATATTACATTATTAAAATTATAAAAAAAAAAAAATTATGAATGTATCCCCGCTGTACCCGTATCATACTTTTTCAAATTTTGACATATCGCCATATCCACATCCTCATATCACCATATTCGTATCCGTGCTTCCTAGGCTATCATTGATGACTTAAAAAAGTATATTTGCTGAAATTTTTATTTAAGAATGGTTTTTTGGCTTTGGCTTTAGCTAAGGTCTTGTGATATTTACTGATGAAGGGGAACAAGTTGAAACTATTGACCTTGAAGACTCTTAGTTTTGTAGGAATCTTTCTTCTTTATCAAGTTATCTTTTGCTTTAAGTTTTATTTTTATGCATACTGCATTACTAAAAATTGTTAAAATAATATTTTTTACGAACGTATTCCCGCCGTACCCGTATCCTAGTTTTTCAAATTTTGTCGTATCGCCGTATCGTATCGTATCCGTATCCGTATCCCGTATCCGTATCCGTATCCGTGCTTCCTAGATATTAATTAATATATATGTATATATACCATATAATTGAAATCGCCCACCACGTTTGCTTCCAACTGTGCAATTTTTAGTCCTTGTTTTTCTTCTTTTTTCCATGAAAACAGCCATGGCTGTCCCAGCCAACTAAGACCCACCCACCCACACAAACACATACGTAAATTCTTACATACATATCAGTCATGGGAAAAAAAAGGGGAAATGAGATTGAGGAGATAACGAGTATGGGCAAGAACAAGAGGTGGGGAAGGATAGAGTGGGTCAATTGCTGCTATACAGTGATATACAGTAATGGAGGGGCAGAGGATGAAAAAAAAATAAAAAAGAGAGACAAAGATGTCATTTTATCAATCCATTTTAAGGTCAATGTCTTTAGGAGATGTCTCACACAATTCGTTGCTTGTTACTCACACACGGTTAACTTAGACAGAATTCGTTAGTTTTACACTTTACTTCAAATCACAAGGGGGTTAAGTGCGTATTTCTTAACTATAAGGAGGTAATGTGTTTACAGTTTAAACTACAAGGAGTTAAAATGTAATTAACCCAAAAAAGAAAGTTTAGAAGTTAAGAAACCTCCTCATTTGGTAGCTTCAAGATGAAGTGTTCGAAGAACAAACGAGCAGCTGAAGAGTCAGATACCCTCACCTTCACAACAAACCTGTCTCCACTCTGGTTGCACAAAGAACAATGTGAGAACAACAACTAGACCTAACCCATCACTGAACTTTCAAAATATTAAGAACGATTCTACATAATAAACCTTTTTCATTTTCTATGGAGAACCAGTTAATAGTTGTTATTGCATTTTCAGTGGATCACTTTGTTTACAATGTTTAAGCGAATACTAAAGTAAGATGCTTAACCAAACCAAGCGTTAAGTCCCTTCAAATGGGGTTGGCTAATGTTTTCATGTTCTCCAAGTAGAATTTCATCCTTAAGTCCGGTGGCCATAAGAAGCCATTCAACTTCACCTCAAAAGGTTAAAGGTATCCCATGAGGTATGCTATTTTGAAAAATGATTCAAAACAAGGAGTAACAATTAGACAAAACCCAAGGCTTAGTAGTTATGAATGAGGAGATGAATGTCGTACTCGTAAAGGTGCAAGGAACTTGAGTGACAGATCTGACAGTGCTAGTGCATCACCAGCACGGGCAATTGAGTCAGCACTTAAACCAATCCTTTCAAAAAGTTCATGACGACCTATTCAAAATAATGAAGGACAAGTAATGAGTCTGTTTCAACCAAGCATCAGGAAGAAACAACAAAACAGTTTAAACTCATTGCAAATTCTTGTGTGTGCTTCTCACCTCATTATATCACCACGTATTTTTCAATCATGCATATAACACTTTAGCAGTGTATGGACACATCTTAATATGAGAAATAAGAGTTTACATTGAGAGACAGTATAGGTGCAAATGACAAGCAAGCAACTGATTTATTTCCATAGAACAAGCAGAAAAAAGAAGGGGAAAAAAAAATACAAAACAAAACAAAAACAAAAACAAAACAAAAAGAGAAACTAGCAAAGTTGTTCTCTGAAACTATTCTGCACACTATCACTATTAGGCTTAAGTCAACAAAAGCTCCTTCAAAAACTATATTTCCAGTTCTTGGCCTTTAAAAGAAACAAAAACGAAAAAGTTCCAATTCTATTTGACTGCATAACTTCTTCAGTCCCTAAAATCTATAGATTAACAAGCCCATAGTCATGCCCAAACCAGACAAGGTTAATATTCAGACAGGCTAAGACTTTTAGCCAGATGTCAAAGAAATTGCTCCGACGTCTGACATAATGCTTCCACTCCATGATGTCTTCCTTTCTTTCTAGTCAATCTTCATAAGATTATAGGGATGCCAAGATGCAATAAATAAAAATCCCATGTAAATGCCAGATAGGTTTGTTGCCAGGCTCAACGTAATATCCGCTGTTTCACTTGTCATTGGCATCTATCTAGTTGAAGTTCTTACCTTTAATTAAGCCCTAGCTCCCACACACAAGCATACAGAAGAAGCAAAAAAGAAGAAAGGAAAATAAATACCAGCCATTCCATCTCTGCCATATATTGGAGGGTTCTAAATCCAGACCATCGTAATGATTCTTGAAAGGTTGGATCCCAGGACTATTAAGTGCTTATCAGTTCACACTGTTGTCCCAAAGAAGAAAATTATAGAAGGATAATCGTAATACAGAATGGTGGATTTATCAGAGAAATTAAATAATTAAGTTTCCTCCACAAACCATTTGTACAGCTTAGGTAGACAAGATGGAGAAAGAATATCATGAGTAGGTGACAACATTGAATTCCAATTAACATCATTGCTACAACCAAGCTCGATACTGCAGAAGAATGGAAAAGCAGTTCCATGTAGCTTTGGGTCATAAGGTTCTTTCAGCAGCTTTGACAATGACTAACAATAATCACATCATGACGTGAAGTTGTCCCTAGATCCACCTTTAGAAAACAATTAATTGTTTGTCTAGAAGCCAAATAGTTGGTATACATAATTTATTTTTTTTATTTTTTGATAAATAATAGTGGGTATTTATTGTTCCTATTTGGCTCTTGGAAGCTGGAGCATGCCATAAAATGGCCTTTATCTAAATGAGATCTCAACTAGACTGAATAACAATTATTCTCCACTCACATCTCATCTAGAGATGGTACAAATCACACTGTAAATTCCACTATAGTAGCTGAATAGAAGAATCAGTGATACATAGCATTATGTACTGTTTTAGTCAAAGTTTCAAAGATCAACTCAAAGATAGCGAATTAAAAATAAAAAGCCACAAGGAGAGCAGATAAGGTTCAAATCTAGCAGATGTCACAAACAAGGTTGAATAATTTTGTATAAAGGCATCACTCTTTGTATGAAGGTCAAATTCGAAATTTGACATTACAGCCATACTTGCGTTGGTGGGAGAAACACTGTTGGAAAAAGGAATGAGAGAAAAATCCTAATAGAAATGGGTGGGTCAAAAGTGGCCCATGAAGGGTCCGCAAACCGACTCACATAGGATATACCATAGGAGTTATAAACCCATAGGTGAACTAGCAGAGGCAAGAAAGGTGTCTACTGAACTAGCATAAAATAGTCTAAAGCAATGAGAAATAAGTCTCCATGCATGCCTTTTGAACTCACTAAGGCATCCCCAAAGGGTGAGATGAATCCCCCTAGGTGAAAAAAGCCTCTGAGGGAAATGAAATCCTCGAGGTGCCCACTGAGACCGGGAGTTGATGGCAAGCTTAGGGTTATCACAAATACCGCGGACATGTCACAACCATGACTTTCGTGAAGATAGAGAAAGTGAGATCTAAAAGTGAAGAATCTTCTCCCCAAAGATAAAATTACCTAGGCCAAACGAGCCAGCCTAGTCGAGATGGTAGGACCCAAGAAGCCCTTGAGACTTGGTACGTGACATAGTCTAACTGGTACAAGGCTATGCTATGACCCATAACCAGGACGTTGGAGATCTTGTGGCTTGATGACTAAGAGTAGGGGCTCACCAGAAGGTAGCTAACTATCTAGCTGATGCAAGGCTACACTTTTCCAAAAAGGTTGATATGAGAGACTTGTGATATGGCATAACCCTATTGGCTACTTGGCCACCTATGAGCCAAGGAGATGCCTATAAATAAGACACATTTCTCACAGCTCGATAAGGACAATAGAGTTTCTTGGGAAAGGGGAAACTATTGAAATACATCCCACATTGCTTAGAGTTACCCCATCTGTGCTAGTTATAAGGTTTCAGTTTTCCTCTCTTTAACACCTGGATTTTAAAGAGACGTGTGGGTTGGACTTTTCAATTCGGTATCAGAGCTTGGTTGGGTCTGTGACTGGTGTGCTGTTTGTCCGGCTACTGTACGTTGTGGTCCAGGAGGATGTGTTGGAATGTATCCCATATTACCTGGAATTGCCTCATCTATACTGGTTATAAGAATCTATCTTTTCCTAATTTGGTGGACCTACTCTCACCCATCGACTCATCTTTACTCCCGTCGGTTTACTTTTCAGATTACTCACCTCTCCGATGATACATACCCTATGCACTATTTGTTATCTAAATCTAAGGACAGAGGGTAACATAGAACTAAAATTGTGAACAAACCCAGTTTTTTCTAAATTGAAGAAAAATCCATGTGAATTTCAACATGTATTTGTACATAACAAGGATATTAATTGATAAACCCAGATACTACACTTGATTTTAAGCAAGAGACACAGAAAAGCATTAGATTATTTAAAAGGTTAAACATGAAATCCTTGCACCAAGGATGTGGTTAACTGATGTTGGAAGGGCTAAGTTTATTAAATTCAATATTGAACCACAGCTTAGTATAAACAGTCTCACCATGTTGACAGTAACTCGCATAAGTAGCATTGTTTACAACACCATATTGATCCAATTCGTAGTCGCGGACTTTGAGCTCAACATCATGGAATCCACTCATTCTGCCAAGTAAAAAAATACATAAATGGATTTCTAACCCCAATACAAAATATACTTGTATGACTCCATATAGATGGATTCTGATTAGATACCAATTTAACAGGTTTAAAGATAGCCAAGCTCACAGCTTCACCCAAACGTATGTCAGGGTAAATTACATTTTTCACCCTTATAGTATGACCCAAATTTCACTTTTGTCCTATTATTTCAATTTGAACAATTGGATCTCTACATTTTAAGTCCACCTTCAAATTGATCATTCCGTCCAAATTTTCATTAATGTTTTGTACGTGTGCACATCAAAAGATTGACAAGTATCCAAAAATCGTTCTTGTCAACCTTAAATCTAGTTTATGATACAATGGAAACATCATCAAAGAAAGTCCACAAAATTCAGCCCAAAATAGAAATTAGAAATAAAAATGTAACACCACAACCTTCATGCAAATAACCCACCATGGAATTTAACAATGCAACAAGAAATGTCAAATTGAAAGCTCAATAACCCATGAATTTTACAGGCTAAAAGCTCTACTTGGAAATATTACCAAGGCAATAAATAAATAGGAATGAAAAATTGGAGAGTAGAAGTGAGTACCCTTTGCCACCTTTGAAGTCGAATGCCAGTGCACTGGTGCTCCTGGCAGGAGGAGAGAGGAGTGGCCGGAGATGAAGCGGCAAGAGCGGCGGCTGGTGGAACAGCGGCTGTGACGGGGGGAAATTTGAGGAGGATGGACGGTGGAGATTGAGCCACGCAAACTTGGAACATGAGATCTGAAGAGCCATGTGGGCAGCTGGGGAGAAGAGAGACTGAACCATCTCCTTGATCGGGATCGGGTACGTGAGAGAGAGAGAGAGAGTGGTGGGTTTAGGTTGGGAATTTAGAATTTGTCTGACCATTCAGTGGGCGTTGAACTCGATGCGATATTTATTTTTTATTACAATATTAATCTAACGTAAAATATTACAAGACAAAGGATTATAAGTTATGATACACACTCTACTTAAAATTACCATAAAAGATAATAATAAATACGGTACTCACATCTCTTCTAAAACGTTATTTACGTATCTTCTCTTTTAATAATTCAAAAATCTCAAACCAAAAACTAAAAATTCTTAACGAAATAACAAAAAATATATATATTATTAAAGATTTTGATTGGATTGAATGATGGATTTGTTAATGCACGGTGTCGTCTCTCTGAGGCAGTAGGTGGAATACGTGAAGCGTCATCCATTTTTGAAAATGGAACAAAAAACAGTAAAGGATAAGTTCGTTCGGAAGTTCAAAACCGGACAATTCCATTTTGTTTGACACTTTAATATCGAACAAAATGCTTTTGTTCGACAAACTAACTTTGAACAATTTAATTATGTTCGACACTAAAATGTCGAACAATTTTATTATGTTCGACATAAACACTTCGAACAAAAGGTTAAAGTTCAAAAGACCAGTGTCGAACGGTTCGCAAAAATTACATTTTCAAATACAATGCTCATGGCAATAGAAAAACATACATAAAATCCTAAAATCTAAGCCAAATGAGAATTCTCACCTACTGTATCTCCAATATGAAGTTGTTTCCAACTGTGATGTTAATAACGATCACTACTGGCATCTTTGATGAAATAGATAATAGAAGGGGTCGTGAACTAGAGAAAAATGGAGTGAAGTTGTCTTTAGCACGAATGGAGACCGAAAACAGTCTAAACCTTTGTGATAACAATGAAACAAATAACGAAGGGGGACGTTGTGTGTGTTTTTGAAATGGAGGTGTGTACTACATGAAATATAGAAGATTGAAGATTGTGAATGGGATGTGTGAGTAAAGGTAAAGATGGAAAATTATGATGTGTGTTGAGCAATTTTTTTTTTTATCAAATTACTAAAGGTGTGCCTTGAGATGAGAATTGGTGTATAAATAGAGACACCCCATAGGCGTTTACCGTGTGTTGACCAAAATGTAGGTTTTAGGTTTTGAAAAGTTATTGGTTGGTCTGGGCACGGCCGCCAGGTCACAAGCACGTTGCGATTGATGAAGATAGTGGGGTTACGATTTTGTGTTAAATGGTTATAGAATGAGGTGATAGGGGCTTGTAATTAGTGAAAAGTATTGTCGCATGAGTATCAATCAATGTATTTGGTTTTAATTATTTACAAATTAATTTTTAATTTTTTGTAAATATTTTTAAAATTTTAAATAATTTTTTTTATTTTTTTAGATGTACCTTATTTAGATGTATCTAAAAAGTAAAATATTTGTACAAAAATATTTTAAAAAATCAATAAATATACAAAAATATGAAAAATATATTGAATTCTCATTTTTTTTTATATTTTTAATATTTAGTGAATTTTCTAAAGATTTTTTTTTTGCAAATATTATATTTTTTAAGTATATTTATGTTAGATATATTTAAAAATTTTAAAAATTGCTTAGAATATTTAAAAAATTTAGTAAAAATAAAAAAATACAAAAAATAAAAAAATTTAATTTTTTGAAAAGTGAATCCTGAAAATTCAAACCAAACTGTATATGTTTTTTCTTGTTTTGTACAATATGAAAAAATTACTTAATATATCTATATTATTATATATGTGAGCACATGATTTGATGTCTAATAATGTGGTGGCTTCTCCTTCTACCACGTGACACAAATTTTTTTTTTTATATTTTTCATATTTAGTGAATTTTCTAAAGATTTTTTTCGCAAATATTATATTTTTTAAGTGTATTTATGTTAGATGTATCTAAAAATTAAAAAAATTAGTAAAAACAAAAAAAATTCAATTTTTTGAAAAGTGAACCTTGAAAATCTAAACCAAACAAGCTCAATAATTTTTCTTTAGGTTCTATTGGTTGAATTTTTAAAATTAAAAATTGATTAAATGACACTCATTTGAATCAAGATTTAAAAAAAAAAAAAATTAACAATAATAATTCATCCCTAATTTTGCTTTCTCAATTCTACCATCAGTGACGTGAAATTGGGGAGGATAAATGTCCCATCCTCTGTTTCATCACCCTTAATTGCAGCTCTAATGAGATAGCAAATAATACCAATCAATTAATTTTTTTCAAACTTTTCTCTTTATTTTCAAAATTATATGTCACATCATTACAAATGTAATTAGGAATGATGAAATAGAGAGATGTAACACAACTCAGGAAAAGAGTGTGGAATCGTTTCACATGGGAGTGAGCCATGCCATTAGAGATGGAATTAAGGAACAAAATTAAGGAGATGTAGTACCTCTCTTTAAAAAAATATGATTAGTCTCCCAATTTTTCTATAATTATATTGATTTTTTTTTTAAATTTTAATTTACATAAAAAGTTGTTAACAAGTGTCCTAAATACACAAGAAAAAGATAAAATAAATATAGAGCCTAATACACTTTTAATTAGTTTATGATACTTTTCACTCATTTTTAAACACTTTTCAACTTTTTTACTATTTTCAAAATACTTTTTGCACTAATCCCAACACTAAATAATGTATAAAAGGCACTTGTTACCATTTGCTTTTACGTAAGGGATGGGCTTCTTTGATAGTGGGATCTCAATATGAGAGAATTTGAGAGGTTTGTAGGATATATTATGAGTCTTATTTTGATTATCTGAACTGTTTATTTTGTAAGGCTGCCAATATATATTATTCATGAAAAAATTTAAGGCGATCTAATAATCATAACTTTTTTATTTTATTGCATTTGTCTCTAAAAAAATGGATGTCAATTTCAAAAATATATTTGTGATTCATCTTTGCGAAGATAAATGCATTAAAATGAAAAAAATTATGATTATTGGATCGAATTAATTTTTTTCATGGATAATATACATTAATAGCCTTAGAAAATGAATAGTTTATATCATCGAAACGGGACTTATGATGAGTCTTATAGATCCCAAAGTTTTCTCATATTGAAATCTCAACATGAAAGAAGTCCTACCCTTTATGAAATACTTAAATCTCTTTTTGTATGCATGAATAAAATAAAGTTATCATCTATTTTCTATTAAAGTATATATTTATTTTTATTTATTTCAGCATCTATCCACCACTGATATTAGTTTCGAGAAAAATTATATAATAGTCTTAGAGTACCACGAGATCATACTCTCTCACCAATTACTATTTATTATGCTATTTCATATTCCTCAATCACCCAACACAAATAAGAGTAATGCTAGAAATATCAATTTTTTTACCAAATAAATGACCAAATGTCTTACATAAGTGTGGGGTCCACAAATGTGTGGGGTCTACACCTATGTGAGACATTTGATTATTTATTTGGTAGAAATTTTGGGATCTATAGCATTTTCTCACAAATAATCAATATTCTACTTTCTCCACCAATCATATTACCATAGAGCACTACATTATTAGGTACTCTTGGAGTATCATGTGTTTATACTCCTTCACTAATCATCATTCACCATGCCCTCTTATATTCCTTAATCATCCGATACAAAATTATAATATCTTATATTCTTCATCAATCATAATACCATAGAGCATCACATGGTCATCCTTCCAGAATGTCCAATAATCACCCATTAAGTATAATTTCCACATATCATCTAGTTGGAAGTTGAGTAAATGTATAATAATTTTTGGAAAAATTTTACTTTACCCTTGTAATTTTGTCTATGTGAATTGGTCCTATTTTAGTTTATAAATTAAAATGCACCGTCAGGTTCATTAATGATTTAATGATTTAATAAGAAAGATTAAAATATCTATATGTATAAGTAATCTAACGTGTATAAAATATATTTGTGTATGATTCATTTCATTAAAATTTAAAACTAAACATATAACTACTTAGTTCTGACATGTATTGCCATGTGTTTCACCATTACCGTATATGAGTAAAAGCCCAAGGAGTTAAAAAGTGAAATTTGTCCGTAACTTTTTTATATAAATTGTTCCAAGTGCATCTCCAATTGTATAGGATTGAAGTCCAGAATAATTACTAATAAAAGGTTGATTTTGTACTTTCATATTATTTAGAGCCTATGACTTCCCTCCAGTCTACTATCACATTTATTGATTATATTTTTCTTGTAAAAAATAAGTTGGTAGGATAAGGGCAATTATATGTTTGAATCAGTTTTGTATAAAAAAATGGACAACGGTTCATATAAAATTGATTTAAATACGTAGTTTCCGTTATCCTATTGATTTGTATTCGACAAATTTTAAAATATGAACTGTTCAGATTATCAAAATAAAATTCAAAAGTAAACCTACTGGACTGGACTAGACTATTCGATTCAATTACAGATCGGGACAGTCTAATTATATCTTATTTTAAAGTACACCTATTGGGCCGGACTAGACTATCAGATCATATGCATAATTTTTTTTTAAAATTATAATTATATCTTATTTTAAAGTTGGATAAATTACAAAGTTTGCTTAAAATGCTAATTATTTTTTATATTTTTAATAATTAAATCCTGCCTTTTAAAAAATTTAATCGCATAATAAATAATTCATTTAATTTATCAATCATAAGTCAATTAATAATTTTTAATAATGTAAGCAATATATTCAAATTAAAATTTTGATAATTTAATTGTTGTGTAAAAGGATGGATAAGAAATTTATTTGTCTATCAACTCTTATTTGTCAAATTTCGATAATGGAATATTTGTAATTTCTAGAACTACATTTTAAGTAAATCTTAAAAGATGTATTTATAATTTACCCTTTAAAATTTCAACCGTACACTTATGGTATGTTTGGGAAGTAGTTTTTTAATGGTTGTTTGGCTAAAAATATGAGATGGGAAAAAAATGGAGTGTCTAATAATGATTTTTTTAGCTTTCGATGAAAAAGAAAGAGCAAAAAGAATAGAGAATAGAAAATAATCTTCAACTTTTTTGTATGTTCTTTTAACTTTTTAGT